TAATCGATAGCTTTCATAAAAGATACCGGCCTCCTGATATAAGTTTTCTGGCAGAAGGATTGAAGAAGAAAAAAAAAAAAAAGAAGTTGAAGAAGGAGGAGCGAGCAGGAGAACTATTTACCCTGGTTATTCAACTAGTGGCCCGTGAAATCTTGCCTGCAGAGGCCAAGCAAGGCGGCCCGTGAATCAGCTACCGATTGTATTGTACTAATGATCATTTTTATGCGGGGGCGGGCACTTTGCTCCACGGCGATACAAATTTTCGAACATGTTGGCCTTTAGTTGAACGGCCTTCTATTGGTTATGTGGTTCAGATAACGAAGTCCAGCCAAGGCAGACCGTGATTGGACGTTCATTTGTGAGTTTTAACCTTCAAAACGAGTTAGTCTAAGTTACAGGAAAGTCGGGTTATGTTCTGCTATGTAAATGTTGGCGGGCGGACGGACAGGTACAAGTAGTGTTTTACCCTCTGTGTAAAGCTAACCTAAACTATTTGTTCTTTCTTACCCCCCTCTTTATCTTCAATATAATTTCCCGCCCCTTTAAAAACTCTCTGTTCTGAGCGATTGCGTATATTCTGACGTTCTCGAACTTCAAGTACGAAAACAATTGTCAGCCTTGACAGCCAATAAGCGAAAGAGCGTTGCATTTCTGCAGCAACATGGCATTCTACCGTCAAGCAAACGCTGTTCGAAGAACTATCTGATGGTGCTACCGCAAAATGGTAACACTTCTCAGTAGGGCTGTACCGAATATTCGATTCGTATTCGCTTCGGGGCCGAATAGTGGACCTAATAACTATTCGGTATTTGGCCGAATACTTGCGGTCGGGCCGAATACGAATAGTGGTTACCTTACACCCGTTTCTGCATACACTGCGATGTACTGAAATAACTCTTTCATTAACACAATAGCTGCTGTTGCCTAAGTCTGTCGTAGCGGGAGAAACTGCGACACGGTTGCGTGGTACAGCAGCTGGCAAGGTCTTTGCCAGCTGCCCAGTGTTGCCACTTTTCTTTGACAGAAAACATCTAGAACGGAGTGAGCAAGGCCCCTAATGATAATGATACACTATTCGTATTCGGCCGAATAGTTGGTCCCGCTATTCATATTCGGCCAAATGGTGAAAATCACTATTCGGTACAGCCCTACTTCTCAGTAAGAATGGCGAAATTACCCTCCAGTGGGATTCCACTGAGCAAGACCTCACTCACAGTAAGACTGGCGACGTTAACCTTCAGTCGAATTCCACTGAACGAAGACCTGACAGTAACAAGAAAGCACTACAAAAAGAAACGTCTACACTCTACTTGACGTCAAAGTGTGTTTCCATTGAAAGCACTTCAGTGACAGTCGGTGTTAGGTTCTCTTTCCCTGTGCAAATATGGCAATCATTTCTCTGGGATTTCTCTTTTTCATTAAATACGAGCTGATAAATAAAGAGTTTGCTAGCCTGCATACAATGTTTCGCATGACTAAATGTCACTGACTATTTTAGGGCTTTGGTGGTGCAATAATTTCTATTTTTGTTGAAACGTTTACCAAATGTAGTTCTTCTTCTTCTTCTTCTTCTACTTCTTCTTTTTCTTCTTCTTCTTCTTCTTCTTCTTCTTCTTCTTCTTCTTCTTCTTCTTCTTCTTCTTCTTCTTCTTCTTCTTCTTCTTCTTCTTCTTCTTCTTCTTCTTCTTCTTCTTCTTCTTCTTCTTCTTCTTCTTCTTCTTCTTCTTCTTCTTCTTCTTCTTCTTCTTCTTCTTTCTTCTTCGTCTCTTCTTCTTCTACTTTCTTCTTCTTCTTTTCATAAATCAAAACCTACATTAAAAGAGAATCAGAAACATGTTGAAAAACTAACACAGTTTATAGCCATAGAAAATATTTCCCCAAACACCTGCACAGAACAGACCAAGTCACAGTTTCTCGCTTACTCACAAGACACTGCAGACTCAGCAAACACTCACATAAATTAGGTATGAGTCAAACAGCTCCCTGCCAATGTCTTCATGCTTAACAGTCTCTAGAAGATATCTTGCAAGACTGTCCTCTCTTGGCTTTGCTACGAAGCAAAATTTGGCCACACCCAGTACACCTGACAAGTAAGGTTTAGGGAAATCTAAAAGACTTCGAGATCACAACCCAGTTTATGTCCCACAGTGGGTTATGCGCATGACCAGAGGTCGCTGAAGAAGACATAAGAAAAAAACCCAGCATCTGCCAGGCATGTCTAAAAGTAGAATTTAATGGCATTAACCGTAGGAGGACAAACTAGACTACACGGGTAAAGTCAAGCGTTATGCAGCTCCAACCAATCAGAAACACCGGAACGACGTGAGTTCTTCGCAGTTACACCCCTCACCCTCTTCTGCAACCGAAGATGACAAAGCGGAATTGTTTGAATATCGATAATCGATTGCATCTAGGCTAACGTTTCAACAGTGGGTTTTATCTTGTTTGATGTCTGCAACCAGAGACAATGGTTGTTTGACCGAGATAATGATTTAATGAGGAATAAACAAACTGAATCCGAATCATAATTAGGTATCATTTACATGACTAATGGAACTGGGGATACATAATCAATATATAGAAGGTAAATATACCTGCCTAATCTTGGAGTGCAATACCATGGGCGTGTCACATGTACTTCTTCTTCTTTTTCTTTTCTCTATTCTTTGAATTCCTCTCTGCATTAGGGCAGAAAGAGGTCTCCCGAACGGGCCCTCCTGTTCGTTTCGTATGAAGTACTTTTCAGTGGCGGTCCATGTCCGCGTGGTTTACCTCTGGAACTGTTACCGTTCTATCTGTATAACATTGCTGTCTTTGGCGCTTTGTCTGATGCCAATCTTGTTACATGGCCAAACCACTTGATTTGTTGTCTACATATAAAGTTCATTATTGGTTCTGTGCTGACTTCCCTACTGGTATTATAGTTCCTGAGTCGATCTTTCCTTGTTACACCTAACATATACGTAAACATGTCATTCTTTTGTGACTATGTTCCTTCTGTTTTCTGAAAACACTGTTCAAGTATAACATTGATAGCATTGGTAAAAAGATTGTGTTGAATAATGTTCTTTTAGTGTTCATATTCACATGCTTGCGTTTCAAAATTAGTGCCATTTGAGAGCTAAATGTCCACAGCCCAAAATATGACTATCAAAACGGCTGAAGGGAACAGAAAGAGGCACACAGAACACGCAGAATGTTACATTACTGCTAATTCTTTCACATTAATTAGCTGTCTATGTGATTGTTATTTTAATTATTCGTTGCTGTGACGCCGGCTTCTTATTTATTTAGTTGATAAAGACTTTAGTCGAAACGTTCGGTTGTGTCTGTCCTTTCCCTTCTTGGAGTTCCCTAGTTATATTTTCTGTTTTGTTCATTGAATGAAGAGTGGTTGGCCGAATGGTTGGGACGTAGGCTTTTATGTTGGAAACTCAGGTTCGAATCACTGGAAGGGAGATGGAAGTCTTTGATTTTTGTCAGGGGCACACATAAGAAAACCCTTTTTTCTTCTTTGTTCACCATCTGGAAGCTCTAGGGGAAAGAACTGGTTGTTAGTCCATTTAGACTAGGGCTTTGTGCCAGGATCTAAGTGTTGCATGTACATCAATTTTGCTGGCCTCACGTTTTCGTGTGGAAGCGGCTATTCCTTGCCGCTCGAGCATGTGCACTCCTACTTCGAAGGAAGTCCCCACTTAGTCGATGTAGTGGATCTATTCCATTTGGATCTATTCTTGCTTCCTCCACAATGCTTAATACCTAATTTCCTGCCCGCCCTAAAAAGTGAAACCAACTGTTTATTCAGCCTGCGATATAAGCCTGATTGCAGTCACCCCCCCCCCCCCAACCACCACCACCACTACCAGCACCACAACCACCAGCACCACTACCACCACCACCACATTTAAGACTATCAGATACCTGGTGGTGTCTAGCTGATAGAACGTTTGAGGGCGCTTGTTCATTCAACAACCCAATGATTTTTCTTTTCTTTTTTCTGTTGGCTAGTTTCAGCAGTTTTCGGGACACTTACTTTTTTGTCTGTGACTAGACTGCTTGGAAAGGATCCGCTGGTAAATGTTCTTCGTCTCGGCTGAAGGGCTTGATTACGCAAGCAGACTGTATGTGGGTGTCACGTACTGTAACAGAAGAATGCTGCATTACGCAAAAAAATGCTACAGTGTGCAATATAATGTTGTATAGCCAAACTCCCCACGTAGAATCTGGGGCCCCTTTGTGAGGGCAACAAGATTAACTCGCTCTCCCCCAGCAAGCATGTCGTACCAGTCGACTCAGTGGGGACTTCATTCTTATGGGAGTGTATCAGCCTGAGAGGCAAGGAAGCAACAGTTTTCATTAAAATTAATCAGATCTTCTCAAGTTCTTGAACAAGTCTAAAGTCCAGGAGTAAATGAACAACTAGAACTTTCCGCCAGAGTATACAACTGCTGTAAGCGAAGAAGAAGAGGTATAGCTAAACAAAAAAGCATAGCATTCTAAAGAACTGTTTCAATGCCAAAGGCAAATGACGTTGTAAGCCGGTGATTATGTAACTAACAAATAAAAAATTCAGGAAAATATGGTCCTCCAAAAAAAGTTGTGTTTGTCAATGAGCCTCTTTCTAGATTCCCCATGTCTGTCTGACTGTCTGTCTGTCTGTCTGTCTGTCTGTCTGTCTGTCTGTCTGTCTGTCTGTCTGTCTGTCTGTCTGTCTGTCTGTCTGTCTGTCTGTCTGTCTGTCTGTCTGTCTGTCTGTCTGTCTGTCTGTCTGTCTGTCTGTCTGTCTGTCTGTCTGTCTGTCTGTCTGTCTGTCTGTCTGTCTGTCTGTCTGTCTGTCTGTCTGTCTGTCTGTCTGTCTGTCTGTCTGTCTGTCTGTCTGTCTGTCTGTCTGTCTGTCTGACTTGGCGATACTGAGATAATTTCTAGTTGAGAATTAGTTGACAAGGTCAGTGGCCATACTTATGAGAATACTAACTGCATGTCTCTTTTCTTTCCTGCAGGTGACCGCTACCAGCACCGAACGCTCTTTCACCAACGTACTCCAGCACCTACTGAACATTAAACCTGGCAATGAGGCACTCAGCGAGTCTATCTGGCAAGCCGTGGAGAAGCTTGTATCTAAAGCAGCAGCTGTGGCCTCAGAAGAGGACGCCCACAAGCTGGTAACCTGCTCTTTCAGGGACACAGAGACTAAAGACAAACGCGGAGAGCATCGAGAAAGCAGTACAGATATCCCTGCACACAACAATACAGTATCACCGGGGACTTTACTTTCGTCATCGTCAACATCTTTGGGGGTGATTTCATCTTCATCTAAACCACCTCAAGCTCCTCCTTTACCTCCAGCAATCATGTCCGGAGCCCCTCAGCCCCCACCACCACCCCCTGTCCCAGGGATCGCATGGGGCCCTCCTCCCCCACCCCCGCCACCTAATGTGCCGCTACCAACGATGACTGTCCCAGACTTACCACAGTTCCATGTGCCCAGACCTAGGTCCAGAATGAAGACCCTCCAGTGGCAGAAGATTCCGGTGAATAACGTCGTCGGCAAGTCCAATATTTGGACCATCATTGGACATTTGGATAAAAAATACGAAATGGATTACGAGCGAATGGACGAACTGTTTAGTCTAACTAACGAAAACAGCCCAAAACGATCAAGTCCAGACATCAATGGAATACCGGAGAGCAAGAAGAAAAAGACACCACAGAAGTAAGATATATTTAACAACAGATATCTTCACATTTTCTTCTCTTTAACAATCAAAGTTTTCATTCTGTTGATATTCTTTAATTAAATGTTTTATTTGTAGCAGAATGAAAATCACTTCAAGAAATCTCGGGTGCATTTTTTTTTACAGAGGAGAATAAAAAAGTAGAAAAGGGCACTGAGAAGCCAGATTTCTTTACTAAGTGTGACCAAATGTAATAAGTAAGAGAACACTTCGTGTGATGTTTGACACTGAAACAAGTACATTGAAAAGTACCTAATGTCCTTTCTACTTCCTGCGACCTATAGGGACCCCATAGTTTTTTTTTGTGTGGGGTGATAATCGAATGGTTCTTACAACTTACTGTTTAGTCTGACTTTTTTAGTAAGTTAATATTTTGTCTCATCTTATCTTTGAAATAAAAAATTATTGCAACTCTCACATTTTTTTGTTAAAAAACAAATACTTTCAAACACTCGCTTATATCCCCTACACGCAAACATACAGACACATATAACACACATGTAAATATACACACACACATACCCACCACATGACTTACTTCCATACTTCCCGTCTTCTCCGTTAAGAGGCGGAACTTTAGTTCTACGCCCCTCCACCCAGAATAGTTTATTTGCCTCTCAACTTTGTTTCTGTGTTTGTCTTTCTGTCTCTTGTACTGAACCAAACTATTTTCTTATAGGACCAGGAACGTGTAGGCGCCAGCACGGTATGTATAACAAAAACCAGTTGATGTGTAACAAATAACACTCACTCTAGTAACTTGTACCGTTTTGTTTTCACTGACTTGCAATTTCATTACTGTAGCTGTCTCACAAAATCGTATAAACAGTTGTTTAATTACTGTAGCGTTCTCGCTAAAAATCTCTAGTTGTTTCATTGCTATAACACCATCATTGCTATTTCATTAAGGTAACCCTTCCCATTAAATCTGATTGATTTATGTTTCATTTGGTGTAGCTCTTCCACTAAAACACCTACATTTTCTGATTAAATACCTCAGTTGTCCAATTAAAATTCAGTGACTGCTGTTTCATCAGAATAACTTTACCACATAGACATATTTTTTCTCTCTCTTTTTGTGTGTGTGTGGGTCCTCGGCAAAAGCCAGGGTGGACTTCAAAATAACGAAAAATTACATCCTACAAGGGGATGACTTATATAATTGAAAAAAAATGTCTGTTTGAATTAGAGTAACTTTCCCACAAAGAATAAATTTTGTTCTTTCATTAAAGTAACTGTCCCAGAAATAAAAATAAATGTTGCTGTTCGTTAAAGTAATTTTTCCAAAATAGGCATATATAATTTACTGTTTTATTGCAGTTAAACCCCCCCCCCCCCCCCCCCCCCAAAAAAAAAAGAAGGAAAAATACACATTTTGGTTGTTTTAGAGTAAATTTTCTCATAAAAACATAAACAATTTACTGTTTCGTCAGAGTAAATACCCCCCCCCCCCCCCCTCCCCCCTCCCCAAGAAAAAATGAAGAAGAAAATATACATTTGGATGTTTTAGAGTAACTTTCTCACAAAGACATATACATTTTACTGTTTTATTAGAGTAAATTTCCCACAAAGATATATCAGTTTGATCAATACCGTATCCCCCCCACCCACCCCCCCCCCCCCACCCCCCGTATCCCCCCCCCCCCCCCACCCCCCCCCCCCAATAACACCAGATCTCGATCTCTCTCTCTATTGAAACAAAATGTGTGGTACCTACCAAGCATACCCGTCATGCACTGGTCCTTAACGGAACGTGACTGTCATCGTAGCAGGTCTGTCAACTTTCGACAACTTTCCCGCCGCGTAAACTTTCATGTGCAGTGTGTCCTTGATATCCTGTGTCCGCTTCGTGCTGGCCGATGCCTACCTTGTCGTGCAGGAACCATTTCCTGTAATGTTGTTTCTCCAAACCATTATTCTCGACGTATTTGTGTAGCGGGGCCGCCGTGGTGTAGCGTTTAGGACGCTCGCCTGCGGATCGAGAGGTCGTGGGTTCGGGTCCTGGCAAAGCCTGATTTTTCCAAAATGACCTTGGCTCCTTTGTCGACCCACCCTTAAATGGGTACCAGGTTAATTCCTGGGAAGTGAAGGTGACTGGTGTGGCGTTTACCACTTTGCCCACCAAGCACCGATTGGTCAAGAAAATATAGATCTAACCCTGAATGATCAATACTTATGAAGCCGTGGAAAAGGGTCCATTTATTCATGTCAGTTCTTCTTCTTCTTCTTCTTCTTCTTTTCTTCGCGTTCACCAGCTGTACACTCTGGCAGAAAGTTCTGGTTGCTCGTCCACTACTGAACTGCAGAACTCCAGAACTTGAGTGTTGCGTGTGCATCAGTTTTACAGATCTCATTCTCTTGAATACAGACTGTTGGATCCTTGCCTCTCCGGCAGATGCACTCCGACTTCAAAGGAAGCTCCCCAATTAGTCGACTCTTACGACATGCTTTTGGGGAGGCAGTGGGTCTATTCTTGTTTCCCCCACAATGAGGCCCCGGAACCCACACGGGGGGTGTCAGTTGTATATAACAAGGAAGACTGGCTAGTAAAAGACAATTTTGTCTCGAAAATAAAAATATTTTGGTTCGACCAAGTGCCACGTCGGATTGGAAAGAATAGTAGCAGAAGGCATGGTACCACCCTCCAAAGAATACAGCGTCCCATAAATTTTGAACATCTGTTTAATTAATCTGTCAGGAAGATGACGCAATGCAACGTGGACTGGACACCCACAGTTGACGCAATGCAACGTCGACTGGACAACCACAGTTGACGCAATGCAACGTCGACTGGACAACCACAGTTGACGCAATGCAACGTCGACTGGACAACCACAGTTGACACAGTGCAATATCGACAGGACAACCACAGTTGACGCAGTGCAACGTCGACTGGACAACCACAGATGACGCAATGCAACGTCGACTGGACAACCACAGTTGACGCAGTGCAACGTCGACTGGACAACCACAGTTGACGCAGTGCAACGTCGACTGGACAACCACAGATGACGCAATGCAACGTGGACTGGACAACCACAGTTGACGCAGTGCAACATCGACTGGACAACCACAGATGACGCAATGCAACGTCGACTGGACAACCACAGATGACGCAATGCAACATCGACTGGACAACCACAGTTGACGCAATGCAACGTCGACTGGACAAGCACTCTAATTGTCGGTACTACTTTGTGTGACTAAGAGCTAGTCATATCCCAACCAGGTCCGCGGATAGGATTATCAAGTGCTGAAACAAGATCTAAAATACCCCTGACCCCCAAAAATTTTAAATAAAAGATATATTCAAGAATAACAGTCCTAAAACAAATATTTAAACTCTGGATTGTGCAGAAATAAATGCTCTCTAATTGACACTAGATTTTATATAGTACCCATTTTTTTAACCCCCCCCCCCCCCCATCCCTCTCGAAACACACACACCTGTCCTTATTTTTACAGTGTATCTCATCCTTTCATGTCAAACTTTGATGCAATGCTGTTTTGCTATATACGCAAAATATAGAGTATGAAGCATAAACACAGTATTGTTTTTTTTTTCTTTAGAAAAAGAATTGTTATCTGAAACTTTCCTCCTTCATGGGTCCTCTTTAAGCTCCATTGGCCCCTTTACCCCCATCGGCTCCCTTAGTCCTATAAGCCCCTCTACCTCTATGGGCTCCGGAAAAATGTACCGACTGCACCCCCAAATCTATCAGTTGATACACATGCCAAGTTTGACTGGGTCATACACTTCGATAATTCTTTGATGTGCAAGAGTACTAACAACTCTACCGTGAAGGCTTCTGTATTGCTGTTGTCACTAACACAATGTTTCCATGTCTCTTGACTCTTGTACTGTACTGCCACTTAACATAGCAGTTTACTACCGTATTATTTTTTTACTAAATATCACTAATGCGTAGTGTTGTTCTGTTACCGTTTTATTCTCACTAAATGCTAGTTACTGTTAGTTTCAGTACGCCAGTTTTATCCACAGGTCTATCTGATAACAACCATTCATTCCATAATTATCTTCAGCTGTTTACTGACATTTATATCATCATCATCGTCATCACTACCACCACCACCGCAATCATGACCATGTCCATCACCTTAAACGAAAGGTCATTTCTATACAGGCCGAAAAGTATATACGTCCACAATAGCGGAATGTTGATTTATATTCTGTGGTTCCTTTGTAATCGGCACAGTTTCATTACATAACATGTACATGCAACACCTAGCGCCACCTACCGAACGGAGACACAAAGTTCGATGTTAGTGTCACTTAAAAACACCCTTAGAAACCACCAACTACATTTTCCTGCAGTCCCATAACCATTTATGACTTACTTATGGACTTCCTCTCATAAATGAAGGATGAGTTATGACTTCGGGTATTCTCCGGTACTCCGGTCACCTCCATACGGGCTCAGATCCCCCCTCCTCATCACTCAACATGTACATCAGTGTCCAACGCTGTGCTTTGCTGGTTGGGAAGACTTCACACGTCATGTGTGCCTCTTGTGACTGGTTGTGCCAAAGTTTACTCCCAGTTCTCGTATTCTTGGCAGCGATACCTGCACATCATAGTCTGTGGGGCTTTCACGGGTTCCCGTCTGCTCTACGACCAACATCTTCTCATTTGAACTCCATCCACTAGGGGCACGCCTTAATCTGGTTTCCTCAGCTGCTTATGTAGCGCACATTTTTAGGGGCAGCAAAAATTTTAACATTGGCAAAACGTAATTATCCGTTAAAAAATTTAATATCTTTACTGCCTTTACCATTATGAAAGTTTCGTTTTATAGTGTACATTAGGACTGAAAATTACACATTTAATTTATCTGTTGTTTATTCATTAAAGTTTAAATACTTCATTGCTGTTTAAAACTGAACAAAATAATTTAATAACTCGTT